GAGTGGATAAGAAAACAGGACCCATGCATATGCTGTTTACAAGAGACTCATCTCAGATCAAAAGACACACACAGACTGAAAGAAAAGGGATGGAATAAGATATTTCACGCAAATGGAAATGAGAAAGAAGCTGGACTAGTAATACTTATATCAGACAAAACAGACTTTAAAATGAAGACTACAATAAAAGACAAAGAAAAGCACTCCATAATAATAAAGGGATCAATTCAACAGGAGGATATAACCCTAGTAAACATCTATGCACCCAACATAGGAGCCCCCCAATAATGAAACAGATTTTGACAGACATAAAGACAGAGGTAAACAGTAACACTATCGTAGTAGGGGACTTCAATACCCCGTTGTCACCAATGGATAGATCCTCCAGACAGAAGATCAACACGGAAACAGTGGCATTAAATAACACTTTAGATCAGCTGAGTTTAATCGGTATTTTTAGAGCATTTCTTCCCAAAGCAACAGAATATACATTCTTCTCAAGTGCACATAGAACATTTTCCAAGATAGACCACACATTAGGACACAAAACAAGTCTCAATAAATTTAATGAACAACAGCAAAACAAGTCCAAAGAGCGTACAAGGAAGGAAATAATAAAGACCAGAGCAGAAATAAATGAAATACAGACCAAAAAAAAAATACAAAACAATCAATGAAACAAAGAGCTGGTTGCTTGAAAAGATAAAGAAAATCGACAAACCCTTAACCAGGCTCACCAAGAAAAATAGAGAAAGGACGCAAATTAATAAAGTCAAAACAAAAAAGTGACAACAGATACCACAGAAATACAGAAAACTTTAAGAAAATACTATGAGAAACTATATGCCAACAAATTCGACAATCTGGAAGAAATGGATAAATTTCTAGAAGCATACAATCTACCAAGTCTGAATCAAGAAGAAACAGAAACTCTGAACAGACTGATTACTACCAAAGAAATTGAATCAGTAATCAACAAGTTTCCAACAAACAAAAGTCCTGGACCAGATGGCTTCACAGGTGAATTTTACAAAACATTCAAAAACTAATTAATACCTACTCTCCTCAAACTATTACAAAAAATACAGAAGGAGGGAAGGCTCCCAAGCACATTTTATGAGGCCACTATTACTCTGATCCCAAAATCTGACAAAGATATTACAAAAAAAGACAACTACAAGCCAATATTCCTAATGAACATAGATGCAAACCCTCAACAAAATACTAGCAAACTGAATTCAGCATCACATTAAAAAGATCATACACCACGATCAAGTGGGATTCATTCCTGGTATGCAAGGTTGGTTCAATATCCACAATCAATTAACGTACTACATCATATTAACAAGATGAAAAATAAAATCATATGATCATATCAATAGGTGCAGAAAAAGCATTTGACAAAACCCAGCAGCCATTTATGATAAAAACTCTTAGCAAAGTGGGAATAGTGGGATCATATCTCAACATAATAAAGGCCATATATGATGAGACCATAGCAAACATTGTATTCAATGGGGAGAGGTTAAAAGCTTTCCCCTTAAGATCAGGAAAAGACAAGGCTGCCCACTTTCACCACTTCTATTCAACATAGTTCTGGAAGTTCTGGCCACAGCAATCAGACAAGAAAATGAAATTAAAAGCATCCAAATTGGAAAGGAGGAAGAAAATTGTCATTATATGCAGATGACATGATACTATATGTAGAGAATCCCAAAGACTCCACCAAAAAACTATTAGAACTAATCAATGAATTTAGTAAGGTAGCAGGATACAAAATTAACATTCAGAAATCAGTTGCATTTGTATACACCAATAATAAATTATCAGAAGAAGAAATCAGGAAATCAATCACTTTTACAATTGCTTCAAAAACAATAAAATATGTAGGAATAAATTTAACCAAAGAAGTAAAAGACCTGTACTCAGAAAATTATAAGACATTGAAGAGAGAAATCAAAGAAGATACAATAAATGGAAATACATACCATGTTCATGGATAGGAAGACTTAATATAGTTAAAACGTCAATACTACCTAAGGCAATATACAGATTCAATGCAATTCCTATCAAACTACTAAGGACATTTTTCTCAGAAATAGAACAGATAATCCTAATTTTTATATGGAACTATAAAATATCCCGAATAGCCACAGCAATCTTAAGCAATAAGAACAAAGTGGGAGGTATCAGTATACCCGACATCAAATCATACTACAAGACTACAGTAACCAAAACAGTATGGTACTGGCATAAAAACATACACATAGATCAATGGAACAGAATAGAGAGCCCAGAAATAGACCTATCCATATATGGTCATTTAATCTATGACAATGGAAGCAAGAATTTACATTGAAGTAAAGATAGTCTATTTAATAAATGGTGTGGAGAAAATTGGACTGAGATGTGCAAAAAATGAAAATGGACTAAATACTTACACCATGCACGAGAACAAATTCAAAATGGAATAAAGACTTAAATGTAAGATCTGAAACTATAAAACTGCTAGAAGAAAATATAGGGAGTAAAATTGCAGACATTATTCTGAGTAATATATTTATTTACTGATATATCCCCTTGGGCAAGGGAAATAAAAGAAAAAAATAAACATATGGGATTACATCGAACTTAAAAGGTTTTTCACAGCAAAGGAAATTATCAATAAAAAAAGGCAGCCTACTGAATGGGAGAAGATATTTGCCAACGATATATCTGAAAAGGGGTTACTATCCAAAATTTATAAAATACTCATTCAACTCAACACCAAAAAAACAAACAAGCCAATTAAAAAATGGGCAGAGGGTATGAAGAGGCATTTCTGTAAACAGGACATACAGATGGCCAACAGACATGAAAAAATGTTCAACCTCACTAATCATTAGAGAAGTGCAAATAAAAACCACAATGAGATACCATCTCACTCCAGTCAGAAAGGCTATCATCAATAAATCAACAAACAACCAGTGCTGGCGATGTTGTGGACAAAAGGGCACCCTGGTACTGTTGGTAGAACTGCAGATTGTTGCAACCATTATGGAAATCAGTATGAAGGTGTCTCAAAAAACTGGAAATGGAACTACCGTATGACCCAGCAATTCCACTCTTGGGTATCTATCCAGAGAAACCCAAGACACTAATTCAAAAAAATATATGCGCCCCTATGTTTACTGCAGCACTATTTGCAATAACAAAGACTTGGAATCAACCGAAATGCCCATCAGTAGACGACTGGATTAAGAAACTGTGGTACATTTATACAATGGAGTATTACTCTGCTATAAATAAAAATGAAATCATAACATCTGCGACGATATGGATAGACCTAGAGACTATTAAACAAAATAAGTCAGTCGGACAAAGACAAATACGATATGATCTCACTTATATGTGGAATCTAAAAAACTCAGTGAACGGAGTAAAGCAAACAGAAATAATCTCAGAGATATAGAGGAAAAATTGATGGTTGCTAGTTGGGAGGGGGATGAAGATGAGGGCGAAGGAGAAAGGATTAGACAGCATAAATAGGTAACTACAATATTGTCACAGGGATATGAAAGACAGTTCAGGGAATATAATTAGTACTGTTGTAAATATTTTGTAGTGTGTCAGATGGTCACATGCTTGTTAGGGAGACTACTTCATGGATGGGG